AAGAAAGAAATTAAAGAAGATACCAGAAAATAGAAAGATCTTCCTTGTTCTTGGATGGATAGGATAAATATAGTAAAAATGGCAATCTTGCCAAAAGCAATCTATAGGTTCAATGCAATCCTCATTAAAATCCCACCACACTTCTTCACTGACCTTGAAAGGATAATAATCAAATTTATATGGAAAAACAAAAGACCCAGGATATCCAAAAGAACCCTGTACAAAAAAGGCATTACCACCCCTGACTTTAAGCTCTACTACAGAGCTACAGTCCTGAAAGCCTGGTATTGTCACAAAAATAGAGAGATAGCCTAATGGAATCAAATCGAAAATCCTGTTATAAACTACCTCACCTATGAACACCTGATTTTTGACAAAATGAATAAAATGGGGCAAGGAAAGCATCTTCAACAAATGGTGCTGGCACAATTGGATGATGGTGTGTAGAAGACTGCAGATAGACCTATGTATATTGTCATGCACAAAACTCAAGTCCAAATGGATCAAAGACCTCAACATCAATCCAGCCACACTGAACCTCTTAGAAGAGAAAGTAGGAGGTACTCTTGAACAAATTGGTATAGGGACCACTTCCTGAACATAACTCCAGGGGCACAGACACTGAGAGCAATAATTAATAAATTGGACCTCCTCAAACTTAGAAGTTTCTGTAAGGCAAAGCACATAGTGGACAAGACCAAATGGCAGCCTATAGGCTGGTATAAGATTTTCACCAATCCTACATCTGACAAAGGGCTGATCTCCAAAATATACAAAGAACTCAAGAAACTAGTCAACAAAACACCAAATAACCCTATTCAAAAAATGGGGTACAGAACTGGAGAAATAATTCTCAATAGAGGAAATCAAAAAGGCTGAAAGACACTTAAATTGCTCAACATCCCTAGCTATCAGGGAAATGCAAATCAAAACAACTTTGAGATACAATCTTACTCCTTCCAGAATGGCTAAAAGTAGCAACAATAATGACAAGGTATGCTGGAGAGGATATGGAGAAAGGGGAACACTCCCCACTGCTGGTGGGAGTGCAAACTCATACAGCCATTTTGGAGATCAGTCTGGTGGTTCCTCAGGAAAATGGGAATTAGTTTTCCACAGGACCCAGCAATCCCCCTCTTAGGCATATATCCAAATGATCCACATCCATGCAACAAAGACATGTGCTCAATTATGTTCATAGCAGCATTATTTGCAATAGCAAGAACCTGGAAGCAACCTAGATGCCCCTCAACTGAAGAATGTGGCACATCTACACAATGGAATACTACTCTGCAGAAAAAAAATAATGGAATCTTGAAATTCACAGACAAGTGGATGGCACCTGAAGAAACCATCCTGAATGAGGTAACCCTGTCACAAAAAGAGGAACATGGTATATACTCACTCATATATGGATTTTAGACCTAGAGCAAAGGATCACCAGCCTATAATTCACAGGTGGATTCTAAGAGATTCACATAAAATCCCTCACAGAAGGGGGAAGGGACAAGTCCCCCAGAACACATGGGAAGTGGGGGGGGCAGTGAATGGAGAGAGAAGTAGGAGAAAGAGAAGGGGAGGAAAAGAAAGCATGTGCGACTAGGAAGATTGAGTCAGGGTAGGAATAGAAGACAGAAAAGAGAGAGAGGGGAGAGAGAGAGAGAGAGAGAGAGAGAGAATATAAAAGAGGGAGCCATTATTGGTTTGAAGAGAAAACTGACCCTAAAGAAAGGTCTAGAGACCTAAAAGACTGCTGCCAACTAACATTTTGAGCAATGGTGGAAAGGCTACCATAAATGCCCTTCCCAGATAGAGAGATCAACAATTAACTTATCTACTATCATGGAGCCCTCATGTAGTACCTGTTGGAAACAGAAGCAAACACCCATAACTAAATACTGAGTCAAACTAGAATCCAGATGCAGAGAGAGAGGACAAGACCAGGTTGCAGAAACACATAGAGACAGCTGACCTGAACAAGGAGGAGCTAACGGGCCCCCAGACTGATAGCTGGGAATCCAGCATGGGACTGACTCAGGCCCCCCTGAATATGGGTCTCAGCTAGAAGGACTGAGCAGTCTAAGGGACCTCAGACAGTGGAACCAGGATGTATTCCTGGTGCACAAAAGGAGTTGGGGACACATCTCCCATGGAGGGATACTCCCTTAAAGTAGAAACAGGAGAGAAGCCTAGTCCCTAATTCAAATGACTTGGCAGATTTACATGACCCCACCTGGATGGTATTGCCTTACATGTGGAATTCGGGTGGGGGGGGATGGAAGGGGAGGGTGGTCAGGGTGCATGTGAGGGGGAGCAGAGAGGGTAAGAGGAAGGGAGTGAAGGAGAGAGAGAGGGAGGGAGAGGGAACTGGGATCGATATGTAAAATAAAAAAATAAATAATTAAAAATAATAATAAAAAGATTATTTTATTATATTATATATTACTATGTTATATTATTATAACTATAGTACATTTCCTCACACTAAATGTTAATTACTCTACTTCATTTTACATGCTTGTCTCTCCGATGACATGATATTCACAGAATAGCAAATGTGTAAAAGCCACTGTGATTCTAGTCTTGCAAATGAGAAAATTTAGCTATGGAAAATTTATTTGTCTAAAGTTTTCCTTAACAGGTACTCAAGTTTCTATGATTCCATAATCAAATTCTAAGTACAGATATTTGGACATTTTAGTGTTCTCCAACCTTCCATCTGTTGCTCCAGTTTATTAAAAGTAAAACCTCTTATCTATGTATCATCAATGGACTGAAATAAAGGTGGAGTTGTCTACACTAAGAATGTAGTGTAGACATTCAAAATAGGGGACTTTTTTGAACAGATGTTAAAGAATGGTAACACAGGAAGTTGAAGCAGAAAAAAAAATAGTAAATAAAAAGCACACACACAGACAAAGAATCCCAGCAGCGCATCTTAGTTTGGTAAGAGTTTGGAAAATAATTTTTTGTCAGAGATACAAACACAGATATGGGGCAGGCCTTGTCTAGCCTGGGGCCTGTAAGTGTTTTAATGGAGCTTTCAAAAGCATTTTACCCTGGAGAACAATTTTACTATCTACTTAAAAGATCTGAAAGTACCAAGACCACAGGAGGACATAATTCAGTGATGAGTGCCACAAGCATTAAGAAGGAGACAATGATGGTACACAGCTGATGCAAGAAGGAAGAAGGAAACTGAGGGCTCTGGAAGAGTACTGAGAACTAGCCAAATGTCCATCCGGTCACAATGCCATGAGCAAGTCGTAGTCTCTGGTGAATAATTTATAATGATCAATTTCACCAACTGTAAGCAGAAGTTCAGGACATCACAAATATAGGGAGGAATTCCTAATCTAAAGGATCAGAGAGTTGCATACCCTGATTGCAGGAAGGAACTCAGTTCAAATAAAACCTCAGTAATTAACTCTCACCTGCTCATTGAAAACCTATGAACTTGAACTACAGCAATGACTGGCATCTCAATATCAATGGTTTATTCTCATCTACCAAATAAACTATTTTGTTGTAATGATCAACTTTCTGGGAATCCCAGATAAGCTTAGCACTTAAAGGCATTACACTTTATAATGATGACAGAGGGTTATCAATTCTCTTTTATATCTTAGTGCTGACTTATTAAGCTTTGAATAATATATTTAAATACTGGTTCCAGTAGGATGTTTCAAAGAGTTCTTGCTCTGTCTATAGGTCAGGGCACTTTTGTGATGATGGCCAAGCATCTGTGATGTGGCACTTACTACACTATGTAAGGATATCTTCTTTTGCTTGGACATTCTGTTAAAATGAAGATCTCAAACTCTGAAAATATTAAACAGTCAATGGTAATTTCTTATAAGAACTGTCTTAGAGGCATTAACTTTTCTGTGTATAAGTGTTTGGCCCACATGTGTGTACCTGCCCCACATCTGTGCCTGGTAGCTGCAGAAGTCTGAAGAGGACTCAGACATCCTGGAATTTGGGTTATGAGTGGTTGTGAACTACCATGTGAGTTATGGGAGACAATCAACAAGATCCAAAAGTGGTCTTAAGCACTGAGCCAATCTCTCCAGTCCCAGAATTAACTTCTATGGAACACTATGATTTCTATAACTTTGTACTTTTCAAAGAAAAAAATACTTTACATTGAAGAAATTTATGTTCTAGTACATAAAAGTAAGTGACCAGGGATATTACTACTGGTGGACCTTCAGTAACTTGCTTCAAGAGTAACCCAGATTAATTAACAGCAATGAGAAATCAGTAGCAAAGACTTCAGACAACCCAATAGTGTTCTTAAAAGACTAAGCCTGCTTAAAAAACAGAGGGCATTAGTAAGTCTAAAATCTCAAATCCAAAATCAATTGGAGAAATGACATGATGTACTTTCATGCACAGTGCATTTATCACAGTTTAAGGAGATGTGCGGCCTTCTAGTTCAATGGTTCTCAACCTTCCTAAAGCTATGATGACCCCCTGGCCATAAAATTTCATTGCTACTTCATAACTGTAATTTTGCTACTGTTGTGAATTATAACATAAATATCTGTGTTTTCCGAGGGCCTTAAGCGACCCCTGTGAAATGGTCATTTGACTCCACAAAGGAGTTACAACCCACAGGTTGAGACCCACTGTTTTTGATAGGTAGATGATAGAGGGCAGAAGGAAAGTTGTATGGTTATACAGACAGACAGATAAAATGACAGACTCACAAAACAAACACACTTGATTTTCTTGGCTCATATACAATGAATGGTTAAAATGGGAATGGTCAGACTTTGAAAAATTTCAGGCAAATATGAAAGTCACCGAATATTTCATTTACCAGACTGGTTAGAAAGACCATTTGTATACTTTTACATTTTTGCGAAGTAAGCTTTCAGTAAATGTTTTCATCAGAATATTAGACATGCAAAGCCACAATAATAAACAGTACTTAAGACTCATCCATACTCATATACTACGTAACACTGGGTAGCACTGGAGACATGCACTCTTTTTTAAGCTGCAGAACTATTAGTAGCTTCTCCCATTTCTTCCATCAGGGATTCTTGTGTAGGGTTTTCATCACTTTTCCCAGACATCAAATGTTCCCCACCTGGGTTTTGAGATGCAGGTTCCTGGACCAGCAGGCCAGATGTGTTTAAGACCATGTTGTTTTTAGCTCTTAGGACATAGGTTTCCTGGGGTTTTGTTTTCTTTTGGCAGACATGGAATGCATCTTGGAAACCACTGCGAAAATTTTCATTAAAGAAGCCATAAATGATGGGGTTGATACTGCTGTTGCAAAAGGCAAGCCAGTGGGCAAAAGGGTAGATATAGATGTTGATGACACGCAGTTTATTAGGAGACAGGTCAGCATAGTCTGAGAGCATCATCAGAGTCCACAGGGGCAGCCAGGAGAGGATGAAAAGGAGGGCCACAGTCAACAGCATCTTGATGACCTTCTGTTTCTTCTTGGACACATGCCACTGCTCCTGGCGCTGCTTGCCCATGCAATGTGCTGAAGTCTTGAAGAGGGAAGCCCCAATCCTTGCATACATGGCAACAATGAGGGAGAGGGGAGCCAGGTAGATGGTGGCAAATAGCACAGTGGTGTAGATCCTCCTCATTTCCTGCTTTGGCCAGTCCTCCCGACACCAGTACACTGTGCTGGTTTTATTGTCGAAGCCGAGTCTCACACGGTAGTATTTTTCTTCTTGTACATGTAACATTATTGCAGATGGAGACATAATGGTAACAGCCAGGCCCCAGATGATCATGATAGTGACAAAGGCTGTCTTGACAGTGAGCTTTGGCTTAAAGGGGTAGACAACACACCGAAATCTGCAATGAGAGGCAAAGATCAATGAGGCACTGCCTCAACTTCTGAACCTGATGCAAACAAATGTGAGGACATCCACCTGTATTTCTCTTAAGTTAGCCCCTGTGGTAACACAGCATGCACTTCCAACTTATGTAACTGACAGAAGATGTTTTAATTCAAAGTACATGAATGAAACAGATCATATGCTGTTAATGAGAAAATGCTTTTATGGTGCTAATGGTATTGCATCAGAATATACCAACTACGGTCCCTTAGGACTCTGCTGTAGACTCAGTCCCACAGGCTTGCATGAGATGTTCCTTTAAACATGATGAATTAAAATATAAAGATTAGGATTTAGTAAAGGTCACATCTTGCTTACTGTTATGCATGATTTCAACCAAAGCAGTTGGACTCTAGAACAGTAGGTTCAGTAGACAGCCAGCCAGTTCTACTATGCTGCAGGAGACAGCTCATCAGTTCCCCCTTGGGTTCTGAATGTTCCCAATATATCACTTCTGTGCTTAGTAATGGAACGCGCTCTGGCTAGTACATATTAACAAGCATGCACATCAGGGCTGTCCTTTTGGATGCTTCTTCTGAAACTGCAGCTTCCAGGATCCAAGAGACTTGATTTAGATGAGAAGCACATGGGGAATGGCCCTGGGGAACATCAGGCTGTCCATCTTAGACACATTGGTCTCAATTTAATTCACAGGGTAACACTGTAACATTAATGGTCCAGGGAGCAGAATACTGAGAGAGGTATTCACCCAGCCCATAGAAGCACAGAGGAATAAATGATCATTTCCTACACCAAAAGATGGTTTTAAATATTTCACAATTACATAGGTCTAAGAAGCACCATTATAAGTTCTGGTAATGACCCCTTCTCTATCCTCTGTTGAGCATGGCAATCAAACTCTGTTGAGGAATTTTACACTTTTGTTATTGTGACTTTTATTACTGTTAGTTGTGTGTTACAAATAATTTTACCATGTATGTGCTATTATACAACTCTATCATTTTAGGTATTATCACCTATTTAATACTTTTGTTTTTTGTGATTATTCTGAACCAGATTTTATAACTCAGGAGACAGATACACAGATGAAGAAAGTAATGTCTGAATAAAAGCTCCAAATGATCTTCTGTGACAACTCCTTCAGAAAACCACTGAAGAATGAGTTGATGAGACCCTATTACTGAAGACACTGCACACCATGAATGCAAGACACAGAGAGACCAAGCTGAAACTGAGCAGGAAGGTTCCTCCCCTCTGGCTGGCTTACCTTGTGCCAGATGGTGCTCTGCAGCCTGCGGGGGGCAGTAAAGACACAAAAGCTCTTCCTCTGCTGTGAACTTTATTAACTGATCTGTCAAGTAAGATGTGTTCTTTGGTGAGACAGTGACAACTGTTATGAGGGAAACAAGTTCCTCTCTGGGACTGACTCTGAGGTCTCCTCCTCAAGAGGAAGTTCATGCCCACTACTGTAACCCAAGTCAAAAACCAGATCAAAGAGGGTATAAGTCCAAGGAAGAAACCTACCACTGCTGCTTAGCAAAAGTGAAAGAGTATCCAACTTCCTACTGAATAACTTTGTTTACACACACAGGCAAAGGCTATGCTCAGCCTTAACTGGAGAAGCCCTTCTTCAATGGATGTTGATGGGTGCAGATAGTCATAGCTTCCCAAGATGGTGAGAATAATGGATAGCTGAAGACCCAGACCTAAACAAGACATTTGTTCCCTCCCCTTAAGGCTCAGGCAAAGTTAAGAATAGGGAGCAGAAAGAATATGAGAGCCAGAAGGCAAGGAGAAGGGATAAGAAAGGCCATCTTCAAAATATGGTATTGCCACAGCAATCACGAACCCGCAGCTGTGATGCCTAATAGTAAGGGGTCTATACAAGTTCAGCCCACCCAATAAGGAGCTATGAATGGAAAGGGGCGTGTGGGGCCATACTACTTACTGCTGAACTAATATGTCATAACAGATGCTGTGAGAGGGGCAAGTCAGTAAATAATTACATACCCTATAGTGAGCCCATTAGGCTCTTATAGTTCTAAAGACATGGTCACATAAATAGCCTCATTAAATTCTGTCTAAAACAAAACAAAATATTAAGTTTTAAGTATTGGGAAGAGGTTGGAAGGAAAGAAGGGACTGAGGTAGTGGTGGGAACAGAGATAAGAGAGGTTTGAATGAATCATGTTCATGTAGGAAATTGTCAATTATAATTTATTAATAAGAATGATAATTTAATGCTATTTTGTTTTATTGGTACTATCTTTGAATAATTAAAAATGAAATGAATGAAACTAAAGTTATAACTAAGGAGCAAAATTCAAACATATGGAGCTTTAGTTAGGGTTTATATTGCCATGATAAAGATGATGACTGAGACAGGGTATGGTGGTACATGCCTTTAATCCCAGCCCTCAAAAGGCGGAGGATGGTGGATCTCTATGATTTTGAGTCCAACCTGGTCTACATAGTGAATGTCAGTCCAGCTAAGGATACCTACTGAAACCTGTTTCAAAACATCAAAACAAAGGGTTAGGCATTGGTGGTGCACAACTTTAATCCCAGCACTCGGGAGGCAGAGGCAGGTGGATCTCTGTGAGTTCAAGGCTGGCCTGGTCTACAGAGCTAGTTCTAGGACAGGCACCAAAGCAATACAGAGAAACCCTGTCTGGAAAAACAAAACAAAACAAAAAAAAATATCAAATCTCGAGTCACACTTCACTGAGGAAACTCAGGGCAGGGACCCTGGAGGCAAAGACCAAGGAAGAATGCTGCTTGCTGACTTGCTCAATTCGTCCCAGCACCGCTTACTAAGGGTAGGTATCACCCACAATGACCTGGGCCCTCCCACATCAATTACTAATCAAGAAAATGCCCCACAGTCTTGCCTACATGCTGATTTTATGGGGGCATTTTTCAGTTGAGATTCTTTTGTCTCAGACGACTCTAGTATGTGTAGGGTTTACTAAATACTAGATCAGACATGTGTAAAACACAAACTAAAATCCAATGTCCTGATGAAGATTGAGGCATCATGCCATGCAAAGAATAAAATAACTTTACATTGATTTATTAATTAATGCCATTAAGTTTTTCAAACATTAAAAAGTGAAAGAAAACATGTGATGTCCTTTGGTGTTGTTGCTCTTCAGAACTGAAATGCCATTTATGCGTGATTCTGTGTCTACAAATCTACAGACTAAATGTGTGAGCTCCTGTCTCTTCCTACCTATTCATCTCTTTGCCCAGCCATATCCCTTTCTGTCTCCACCTCCCTTGTTCTGGGATTAAAGGCATGTGACTCCCAAGTACTGCGAATAAAAGTGTCAGCCATCACTGCCTGGCTACGTTTCTCCTTTAGACAGGATCAATCTCGTGTAGCTCAGAGTGGCGTTGACCTAACAGAGATCCCCCTGACTGTCTCCTAAGTGCTGAGATTAAGGTGTATGCCACTACTGCCTGGCCTCTTTGGCTAAGTAGCATGGCTATCTCTGTACTCTGATCTCCAGACAAGCTTTATTTGTTAGAGCATAAGCAAAATATCACCACAGGCAGCCATACTCATTCATTTTCCTCTTTGCGGAGAAATTCAGAAGTTGCTAGTCATCCATCCTGTATATGCATTTCTGCATTTTCAACATCTGCCTCCACCTGGAATGGTCTGGATTTCACATTGTGGGACCATGTCATGTGTATCATTATGCAATCTCTCCAGCAGTGCATGCTTTTGAACTTTACACATGTAGCTTACACTGCCCTGCTTCATTCCAGTCTCTCTAATGTTACCCACTGGAAATACAGCATTAATCATTTGTTGATTTTAATCTCATTTACTTTCTAAAATAAAGATGGCCGATGTTAATTTTTAAGTTTTTTCAAATGTCATGTCAGAAACATTTTCAAAGCTTTTAAAGACAATTAAGTACCAAATGCAAAGTGGAAGGAAACTTTTTAAGCTTAAGATTGAAATACAAAAGATACGATAGGTTTTGTTCACTGGAAAAAAAAATCCCTAATTACTACATAATGCTCATTTGCAGGACACCCTTGTATTTAATGTGTGATGTATATTTTGAGTGAGCACACAGAAAAAAATGTATCTTTTACCCAAAAGTGATGTGGTTTATCACTTTAAACACTGGGGGTTCAACTGGCCTTGTTATGCAGTTATCGAAAAGAAGAACAATCTATCAATAATTCCAAAATTAAATACCACAGCTCATATTCCCAAGCTGTAACTGCATGGAAAGTACTAACACTTAAGATCTTAATAAACACATTTAATTGCATGAATTACACAATTTGTTATAAATATTCAGTGAAGCAATAATTTTGTGGTATATATTGTAGTAATTGAAGCAGGTAGCTACATCAGTATATTCAGTGTCATTGACAATCTGCAGTCATTTGGTAAGTCACCACTTTCTGGGACTCAGGGTCTGAAGCCGACTTACCTGTCCACAGCTATTGCAACCAAGGTGAAGACTGAAGCAGAAACAGATATCCCCTGCACCAGGCCACTGATCTTGCACATGCTGCTTCCAAATGGCCATCCTGAATGGGAGATGGAATAGTCTTTTGAGAAGATGATTTTTACCTCGCTATAATGCAAATATGAACAAAAACATAAGAAATGACAGCAGCCACAGAACAATGTATACTGGTCCTTTTGGTAATTTCTCCAGGAGTATTTCATTAGTGCAGTACTCAGAATGCAAACCTAACAGTGACTGTTACATGTGTGAAACTATAAGCAGGACTTCACACCTGCCACTGTTTTGAATTCCCAGGAGAAGACTTTGAATCTCTTTTCTAACTCATGGTGTCTCCAGACAAGGTAGAAAACAGATGCCTACCTTTCCTCAATCAGTTCTTAGCTTAGTAAGATTTAATACCAGGTAAGTTTCCAGAGTGTAAACCAGCAAACTTTAGGTTGCAGTGCTTTAATGTGAATAAAGCAGACAGAATATTAATTATCCAATTTGGAAGTACACCCCATAAATTGTGAGGAATCAGGAAGTACATATGGAACAAATATACTAAACCTACAATTTTCATATTAGTGATGTCTAGAATAGACTCCTTTACATGAGTGGAAGTAATGGATTTGCTTACCCAAACCTCAGCAACTAGAGAATTTCTAAGAGAAATAAGCAAAACTATCAGAGAAGTTTGACCTTCTAGACACTCATTACTATTAAAAACAAAACCAAAAAACACTCTATACATGTTTTTCAATTTTAAGTTTTATTGTTCAAAAATCCCATAGTTTCTTTTTTAAAAAACAAACTATTCATATCCAATTTCTATTAGCCCACACAAGTGAGTCTGTTTTAACAGGCATCCCTACTTAGAGTTGCCTTTTCCTTCTTTCACTTTGCTTTCTGAGACAAGGTTTGGCTATGCTGCTCAGATTAGCCTTAAACTCACGGTTTCCCCACTTCAGCTCCCAGTAGTCTAGATCATAAAATAGATCCCCGGGTGAGCTATTAAACATATAGGACCTCATACTAAAACACAAACCAAAAATGGTTCTTAATGCTAGAAAGCCTCAAACACAAAATAAAGGGACTATAGGAAAGGACTGTGTAATAGAAAGTTCACACAAAAATAGAATTAACACGTTACTAGTAATCCCAGAAACAGAAATGTTAGTAAAGAAGCATACAGAAAACAAACAAAATTAGGCCAAGTAGTTTAAGACAATGAAATGAAGAACTCAAGATGAACATTGAGAAAACCCTTCTCTGCCCTACAGTGTTGGTGACTGAGCCCATGGCACTGTATAGGCTAGGTAATCATACTGACAACAAGCTACATACTTAGTCCTTGGATTTAAAAAAGATTTATTGTAATTTCAAAATCGTGTGTGTGTGTGTGTGTGTGTGTGTGTGTGTGTGTGTGTGTGTGTATGTGTATGTGTATGTGTAGGTATACATAGGTGTGTTCAGGTGCCCACAGAAGCAAGAAGCAAGAAGGGGACATCAAACCCCCCACAAGCTACAGTTATAGGCAGTTTTGAGTCAACAAGCATGGGTGCTAGAACCGAATTTAGGTCATTATCAACTGCTCTTAAGCATTAAGCAATCTCTCTAGCCAGAAACCCATGGATATTGAGGATGGTGTCTTCATGTTGACCAGGCTGAACTTTAACTTGTAATCTCCTGCCTGGATCTCCAAAGTGCTGATATATTATATGTAAAAACCTCCATGTGTCTAGTGGGCAAACGCACATGCACATGCACATGCGCGCGCGCGCGCACACACACACACACACACACACACACATACCTTTGAAGATTAGAACAATAAGAATCATAAATTGAGTGAGAAACAATGAAAAGGGACACCATGACCTCCTGCATTGATTAACACTTCCAAAAGAAGGGAAAAGACTTTGCCAAGAAAGTTCTCTAGGATGAAACCCATTGGTTTACAGACTGAAAGGAGTAGTTTGTGTCCAGTGCAAAAAATAAAACACAGAAAATCAACTTCTAGCCCCAATTTCATGAAAAATCTCAGAAAACTGGGGAATGATATATATATATATATATATATATATATATATATATATTGATATATATATATATATATATATATCAAAAAGCTTTTAGGATGAAAAAAATGTACAACCCAAATAAAAGATAGCAGGAGTCAATGTTCAGCAGTAACTCAGCATTTCTTAGAAGTAACAAGAAAGCAATCCCCTTAAAGTTCTGAGAGGAAAATTTTCCAACCCAGAAATGTTCACAGAGATAACTACAATCAAGTGCGAGAGTTGAAAGAAAGATACTTAGAGACATGTAAGTTCTCAGAAATGGTTCACCACGATGTGCTATTTCTTAGGCAGGAATGAAGTAGAAAGAAGATGGGTTATCAGAAAACAGAGGACAAGTTACAAAGAGAAGTGGAGAAGATTTTGAGAGCATCAGTGAGAGAGACAGCTAACAATCACTGAATGATTCCTATCCTGACTAATAGAGGAGGTAAAGGGTGTGAATGCATGTTTGTGTTTATGTGGGGGTAAGTAGATTAACAAAATGGAATTTCTGTCTTAAACAGTTTAGAAAACAGAAAATGACATTAGTCCCATGTTACTTAGATATATGGTCATAATTACCAAAACTAAAGACAGGAAATGCTGCAAGGGGCTACCCATTGGGAAACAAAGCAAGGGTACAGTGAAGTGATTTATGTGCAAAATATTAAAGTAATCATTTAATTCAAAATAATTATGACAGGAAACTGAGTGTCATGTGAGGATCAGGGCTTTGAAATAGCTTGAGGTACTGCAGATAACTTTAATATGTTGCAATTATTACATTGTTTTTCTTTTATTGGTAGGAATGTGGACATCTCATATACTGCTCCTCTGTTAATACAACAGACTAATAAATCTATCCTCTGAATGAAAACACTCCTGGGACCAGGAAATATACTGTCTCTGCTCCTCTAGAACATGTTAGGTAGTCCATGAAAACATAGACCCAGAAGTGTGGGAGGGAAGTTCTTGTTCCCAAAGCACACATCTATTTGATTACTACATGTTTTGCTTAGAATGGTCATCTTGTGAAGACAGATACCTGGAACACTTCTGGGAACCCAGTATGTATGTGTGAATGAACAAATGCATGCATGAATGAATGACTCTGCTCTGACTCTGAGTATCTGTGGAACCATTTTCTCAGGTCATATTTATATTGCACACAACTCAACATACCTGCGATAATGTTATCCAGCAATGTGATAGGCATGCAGAATATTCCAACCAGCAAATCACTTATTGCCAGGTTTAAGATGAAGAAATTAGTGACAGTGTGCATGTGTTTGTTCCTTATTACAATAAAGCAAACTACAGTATTTCCCACCATGCACAGGAGAAAGATCAGGAAGTAGGAACTAATGAAAATTGCTGCCACTTGAGGCTGGTGAAGATAATAGTTTACATAGGTGATGTTGATGCTGGAGTCCCAATGATGCTGTGGGTCACTGCTACTCCAGGCATGACTCCAGTTTTCTGAAGAGTTTGAGTCCCATTTCTTGCTCATGGTGGACCTTAACAAAGGAGAGAGAGAGAGAACAGAAAAGATTAATGAGAGACTGGTAGATTATAACTTCTGTATTTGGATTTAATAAGTGTTTCAAATGAGTTTAATTGAATTTCAATGTTGTTGAATTTCAATGAGCTCTCAGTAATCCAGTAAACCAGTAAACCTGGTTTATAAATGAAGCATTCATCTTATTAGGATTCCAACTGGAAGCACTCAAAATTTATCCTTTGTGCCATACACAACAATCATTAAAGTTGATTCCTTGATGTACTTTCTAATTGACTTCTGAACACAGTTTATCTGCCAAAACCCACTTGCTCTTATAAGTTCGAGGTGCATCAGCAGAGTTCCAGACTGTCTAGTAGTCTGACAAGGGATTATATCTATGGGTATTTTACAGATGCAGACCCACCTCTGCATTCAGATCATTAGACAAACTTACAAAATTAAACTGCTATATTCACTTTTAAAGTTAGAAACTTTAAATTGGTAGATATCAATTTAAGTGGATCAACCACTAAAACCACACTTTGAAAAACTTTGAGGCAATTAGTAACTTTATAATATCTTCTGGACCTTTGCCAAGTATTCTTGCATCTCTATAGAGAGTCATGGTTGTCCTGTAAATTTTACAGTAAGCGCTGAGCTGTGTACTACATATCTGATACTTGATTTTGGATAATATTCCTTCTGTATATTTGTTATTTAAGTAACCTTCTAGTTTCACTTGCTCCTACTTAATTTTGAAACAGTACTAATTTGAGAGTCACACATCTGGGGAAGTCATTATTCATCTCTCTACTGAACTCTGTTATAGATGACACTTCTGAATGAAGTTGCCAAATGGGTGAAATATTGTTGTTTTATTTCCTGGACCATCCAGAGAGACCATAGCCTTTTACAGCTTTCTTTTGGGAAAGGATGCATTTGTAAATTAAGTATTTACTAGTCTTAGGAAGAGGACTAAAAATACATGAGCAGTAACAATTTTTAAAACACTAATTTTCTTTAAGATGTATAGAACCCCACTGTCTTAGAAACTTAAGATAGCAGTTCAAGCGTCAAAAGGGCAGAAAACTTGACATCTATAAATGTCACTGATGCCCGCCGATTTAGTGTGTTTCCCCACAGCTCCTGATGTAGACCTCATGTCTGCAACCCAAAGGGAAGATGGGATCTGCAGAGTATTTATCATCTTCAGTTCCCAAAATAAATCTTCTTTGCATCACTGATCTTATGTGATGGGAAAGAATTATGTTTCATGGTCATGTTTTTTTTTAGTATAGATAAAAGTAACTAGCTATTAATCCCTTAAAATAGAACAGGGGATTGATTTTAACAGCATATATTATGTGTGTTTAGGTGAAAGCCCTATGGCAACTATACCTATCCAAAAAGGTTAGGATGTTTGCAATCTCCAGCTCAGGGTTGTATTGACAACCCACCCTCAATATGCCAAGTGATGGGTCCCTCCTCTGGAGTTGCCTCAGTCCAGAATCTACTCCTGAGGAAGTCTGCCATTAGTAGCTTTAGCCCCGTACAGCATTAAAAGCCCCCACCTCATGGGTTCCCCTCATGGTCTTTTTCTTGGGGCCACTCAGGAATGCATAAACCTGGATTTATTAATTTTGGTTGATTGGCTTATTACATCAGCTGCAGTAAGTTTCCAACAACCAGGGATTCAAAACTTACCAATATCTGCCAAGAAGAATTCCTGGAAAGAAGCTGTGTGTGCAAAGATTAACTGACTGATAGACTGCAATGATGTGGAGAGGTTGGCATGTTGCAAGTTCAGAAATTAATTACTTTATCTTGGGCTAAGTTTAGCCCCATGGAGAGCCATTCCTTCTCCAGAGAAGTTAAAAGTCTTTTGAAATCTTTTAATGGATTAGCTTCCACTAATCCAAAAGTTATAGATGTTTTAAATAGCATCCGAGGCCTCTAGAAAAACTTCTCCCATCTTGTTGTACCCGCCTTTCTGTTGTACCCACCAATGTGTTTTTTAAACATGCACTGATTTATGACTTTGTTCTGTAAAACTATGAAACTCCATGAACACCCTCCATGTTGGAACAATGAATTTTCAATAACCTAAATCTGTGTTCACAAGGCCATGGTCATTCAAATTTGGCTCCAGCATAAACCTTCTCTGTTCCCTTAAGGAGAGAGCTCTGCTTCTGGTCTCCTCACACTTAGCAAGAGCAGTGATTACAAAGAAGTAACAAAGGCACTAGGAAAAGTGCATTGCTATGTATAGTTTGTGCTGTTATTTTATTCCAGTTTAATAGATATGTAGGTAAATTAAAATAGTAATTATGTATTATTGTAATAGCATATAAATATTGAGACTCATCCCTTACTAAAGTGATCAACTTCAGTGATCTGTTTGAATACAGAATCACTTTAATGCATTTTAATTCCATGCTTTCTATGGCCCACAAATGCCCCAAACCTAAGGCTATTAATGGCTATGAAACTCCTGGGACTACAGGCTTTTTGAGAACTAGGGAAACACTTCAGTTACTGTTCCTGAATAGGATAATAGAAGATGCTGTAATCATGAGGGGCTACAATTCCTGGTCTCTTATATAATCTAGCTCCTGGGAAGATAACATAATAATATTCAAGAGACATAAATGGAATTACCAACTCCAAGAAAACATAAGGGGTTATACAACAACGAATGGCCAGAACAGGGGGGGGGGCGAGAGAACAACACTAGCATGTCAAATATACCTCTAATAAGTTGGTGTAATAATATTTTAACATTTGGAGGGCGAAGTACTGTTTTGTCCTTCCCACCCCTCTTAAATAGTCACTGCAAGTTTATAATGATTGTAATCTACAAGAGATCAAATCAAATAACAAGAGTCACAAACAGAAAGTACTTGAACAGCAGCCTGAAATTATTTCCATGGATAAGCCAGAGCAAATATGAATAACACTGGGTGAGAGCTGAACAATGCTAAAACAGTGTTAAAGGAAGATCATGGGCTTTGTGAGAGCATTTAGGTAATAGGCCTGAGACTGGCTGGCATAGTTCCCTAAAATTACTATTCTAGAGAGAAGCATTCAATGTTCTGTAGCACTCATGGGAGATAGCAGTGCTCTGAAGGGGCCACAAGGAACATCAGGTTGAGGTTGGGGTAGAGAATAAGAGTGGAAATATTTCCATATGTAGTTGCCTTTAGCTAACTTCATCCTTGTAGTAGACCGTCTGTGTTATTAGAGAATATAGCCTGTGTTTTTCTATCATGTGAAAATGTACTGCCTAAGTTACTGGAGTTTTAACTGGTCATGCTAGGTGGGAACGTTTGTTAACGTCCTATATATTTTAAGGCAACAAACTATAACTAACAAAGAATACCAAGATGGTAGAGAGAATGGCCCATGAGAGACCGTTGGTTCCTAGTACTTCACTGTTAATGGAGGTCACCAGTGCAGAGAGCTTGTTACTTATGAACTCATAAAACCTTGTGTGAGGGGTACTAACAGCCTTGACTAGGTAATATCTTTCCTGTAGGGGAGTGCCCAGGCCACAGGAGCCCCCTTGTCATCAGAAACTAGTCTAGTGCTCTCCTTTTTGTTGCAGCTTCTGTGAACAACAAGGCATAATTTGATCTCTTGCTGTGGAGAAGTCGGTGTAAATATACTGGATTGCTGGAGTGTATTTGAATTTGCCAACCCAATTGCTGCAGTTTCATGAGATGAGACTTTGATTCAATAAACATTCAAAGCAAGTCAGGAAATTGCATTGACTATTATTATCAGGACGCCTCCTCTTAGGAACCAGAGAAGTTAAGGACTATGGTGGCTTGTGTGACAAATAAAGGCAAGAATAAATTCAGCTAAAATTTAAAGACCTCAGAAATTACATGAACTAGAGCAACTAATTGCAGCCCTGAAGCCATACAAACATGTAGATTACAGGCACGCCAAGGAGCGGGATGAATCTGGTCCCTTTGGTTTTGCCATGGGGTCTTTATTTTTTTTAATTCAAGAATAATATTGGCTCCTATTTACAATATCACACCAAAAATATTTGAATTTTAGTATGACTGAGTGGAAACAGTTGCTAAAGGACTAATCTAGTTGTTCAGATAACATTGGATATTCTGAGACCAGACACACAGATTGTAGCTAATAACAGGAATGAAATGGTTCAATGAGTACTTTTCTTGTGCCCGAGCACAAAATCCTTCTAAGAAATCTGTTCCTAATAAAGTACTCAAAATCATTTGCTAGCATCTTCCTGGCCTAGCTAGTGCAAAAGAAAGTCTTCAGGCAATTCTGAACCTAGGACACCAAGGTAAAGTCAGAAACATTCAAATATGAATTAAGTCTCACAGCAGCAGTTATTCCTGGATTAAAGAGTAATGCATCGAGAAACACCAAGAGGTGAGCAAGTTTAGGGGAAGAAATCACTATATAAAATCAGCTTTGCTTTGAGGGCTATAGGATCAGCAATGAAGCACCCAGAGGCACTCTCCAACCTCATTTCTGCATGCTCTTGGTCTAAAAATCGACTCACAGCTGAGTACAAGAAGCCACATGGCTTGTTGCTGAACATTTCTGGTGTGTCACCATGTGGCTGTAAGTCACCAGTGACACATAATGGACATGAGAAAAGCTTAAATAGAAGCTGCTCAAATACCCTTCATCTGCAGCCAGTGGCCTTGCTATATATTCAAGGAAATGGGCATTCATTGATAAGAGTTTTCATTGAGAATCCAAAAGATTTAAACTATATCACTGACACAACTGATTTCGGTCTAAGACTAGGTTTAGAATAAGGCACATGCTTTAGCCAGATTTCTAGAATTTATTGTATGGCTCCTACTGAGAGCAGCCATGTAGACCTTCAAACTTTTGTTGTTGGGTTAATGAGAAAAGAGGGGACACCCCAAGGAAAAGTATCTGCCTTCAGCCTGTGAATATGCTCCATGAGAATTCACTTATTTTTTGGAGCCATTTCCCTAGATCTTCATGTACAGGCTG